GAGCTGCAGCCGCGGCAGGCCAGGCGAATCCGCCCCGCAGTGACGTGATGCCACCCCAGAATCTCTCCCGGTGCTTGTCATCCTCCGCTTGCGCCGCCTCCCGCGCGGTCCGCTCTGCCTCCGCCTCTGGCCGCCGCCGCCAATCGCCTACGTCGCATCCGCGGCGGGGGCAAATCTTTGTAGCCACGGCTTCATCGATAGTTCGGGGCAGATCTCGAAGCAGGCCCTGAATTGTGATGACCAGCGCACGGTCCAAGACTGGCTGCATATCGCCTCCGCCTCCACGGTCGTCGCTCGCGTGGAGGTCGCCTTCGATCATGCCAAACGCGGGGTTGTAGGCAGAGGCCAGGTCGTTCCAGCGGGAGCGACCATAAAGGTCGATGCTTGATCGACCGTCGCCATTTGGCTCGAACGGCTCAAGCCCAATTTCCGCCGGAACTTCGCGCAGGGTCGCCGCGGGCATCAGGACGGCTGCGTACGAGCGCAGCAACTCACACGCCTCTCCGCTCTTGTGGAACGTTTGGACGCCCAGGAGCTCGCCTGCAGCAGACTCGACCCAGCCGCGCGTATGTAAGTACACGCGCTCCACGGAGATCGCCCAGGCTCTGTGGCACAGGTCAATGCTCATCGAGGCTGCGAACGAAAATGCCCAGGTTCCTGGCGCGCAGCAGCCGCAACCCTCCCGCATGGCAGCCGCAACCGCCATCTGGACACCCAGCGCCGCGCCAGTACGCGCAGCGAGACTGGTGAGCGGATCCTCGTCTGCCAGGGTCGGGGTTGGCATCGGCACCCAAGCGCACCGCTCCTCGGAGTGCTCGTGCTCGTCCTCAACCAACTCTGCGTATTCCGGCTGGTCCTCAATCTCCTCTGCCTCGGTCACGGTCGGCAGGGGGACACTCTGCCGAGCCGGGACTGAAAAGAGCTTCAGGTGCAGCTCGGATGGGTTTATCGCAGCTGCAACCGGCGCCATTGCAGAGCAGCCGCATCACCGCCGACGCCCGAAGGCAGCGTAGCGCGCGAAAGATGGTGTCGTCCAGCCCAGGATACTTGACGTCGTAGGCGCCCTGCTCCATGATGAGGGGCCCCAGCGCTGCGTCCGACAATATCTGCAGCCAATCTAGGGACGCGACGGCCACCACCTCGTCAATAGGCTCCTCTGCAGGCGGGTCCATGTAGGCGTACTGTAGGCGACTGCGGCGTCTTTGGGTATCTGATACATGTAGCGTGCTCAGCGAGCCGTCTTTTGAGAGAAGAAGGGAAAAGAGAAGCATCAATGAGTTTGCGCCCCGTTTGTACCGCGTGACGGCACACTTCTTATTGCAGGTGGCGCTCTGGGTCGCTGCTACGGAGCGTCGCCGCGCCGCTAACGCGACGATGCGCTGCCGCCTGCTCGTCCTCGTCGCGCTGGCGCAGGCGCGACCGCAGCAGTATGACCCCGAGGGTGGGCGAGGTCCGTCTCGGCCCGCCGTCGCCGGCGTCCCAGGCGCCGCTCCTCGTGCCACTGGCCCTCCGCTCTCCCGGCAGCCGGGCCAGCCGGGGCAGATTGGGCGCGCGGTGCAGCGATACCAGTCCTTCGTCAACGGCGCGGCCAAGGTGTCGCGATGGATCCACGTGGGGTGCGGCTTTTGGGTCATCGTCTCCACGCCAGTCTCGCTGATCTCGTCGGGTGCCCGCTCTTCGGCCACAGGATGCCAAAGCCACACGACTGGCCTCACGCGGCGACCGTGGCGCTCCCAGGCGTCTCCCTTCGGCCGGCCGAGATGATGCTGTGCGGCTACCTCGGCTTGTTTGGATTCGTGAGCGCCGCACCCTGCACCACGCACCCACACCAGCCCCACTGGCCTCACCCACCCTGCCCGCCTGCCTGCCTGCCCCGCCTGCCCCGCCTGCCCCGCCTGCCCCGCCTGCGCCCCGCCCCGCCCGGCTGGCGAGGACGACCGGTCATTGAGAGACGGACGGAAGAGTGAGGAAGACGCACCTTTCTGTTTCAGCCCAACCGAGCCAACGCGGATCAAGCCGCCCGCCCTCCGCCCCTCTGCGCCTCTCCGCGCTTGCCCCTTGCCTCCGCCACGCCCACGTCCTCGCGACGCTGGCGCGACGGCTGACGCCGTGTCGCCTGCCGCGGAGGTGCTCGCGGGCTGCGAGCTGCCGCTTGCGCGTGGCCTCTTCGAGACATACTGCCGCTTCCTGTACACGACGCAGGGCAGGCTCCTCTTCATGGTGCCGCCCCGCCTCGCCTCCCTCCTCGCCTCCCTCCTCCCTCCCTCCTCCCGCTCCCTCCTCCCGTCGCTGCTCCCGCTGCTCGCTGCTCCCCCCCCCCCTCCCTCTTTCTCCTTCTCTCCCTCTTGGACTGGCTCCATCGCCTCTCCTTTCTCTCGTGCCTCCCAGATTACCGCAATGTGCGTGACCTACTCGACGAGCCTCACTTGGAAAATCTGCTTTGCATTTGGCGCCACTCCCATGAGTATCAAGACACAAAGAACACCCGCATCG